GGGTTCAAAATGATTGGCAAAATTATGCTACACAAATTTTTCACTTGTCCTAAGGCAAATGAGTTTTGCTATTTAGCCAAGACGCAAGTCTGCTTTTGGGCCCCACGACATATATATTATATATATATAAAAATATATTTATAATATATATATATATATTATATAAATTTTTAATATATATATAATATATTATACATTTTAAATGGGGTCCCCCTCTGTGTAAATTGGGGGACCCATACCATACATACATAAAACATAATACATCATACATACATACATAATAAAACATACATACATAATAAAAAAGGGGTACCACCTCTGGAATTTTGCTGGGACCCTCCCCTAGAGAATACAATAAACTTACTTAGTGAAACTCAAGGTTCTCCCCAGAGTTTTGAGTAAATTTTCTTCTCCTACCCCCCCCAAATTTTCTTTTTTCTATATAGACTTTTTTTAAAGCAAAAACAATAAAAAAATAAATATGAGTAGAACAACAAAATACATCTGGGCGAACATCTTGAATACTTCCTACCGCTCCCGGCGGTGGGCTGCGTCCCCAGAATGCTGCAGGCTTTTCCTTCAAATTACAACACTGAGTCTCTGAGAGGGGAAGCGGGCCGCTCTGTGATCCTTGGGGTCTTGTGGGAGTTTTTCACACAGCTTTTTGGGGAATTTTTTGAGCACACACCCCATGTTCCAAGGGTCTCTGACCCTACTGGCATGAATTATAGAAAGGGGAAAGCCCTTTCATAGTTGCTGTTCTTCGGGTTCCCCCTGTAGGGGTGGCTCCCCCCCCTCAGCTTCAGGTTATGGAAGTAAAGGGCCGGCAGTGTGGGGCAAAGGGAGTCCAAGGGAATCTGCTTACCACCAGGGGGCACAATGGCCCCCCTCGGAAGCTTTTGACTTCTGGGCCCGACCCCAGTATTGGGATTCCCTTTGGCCAGGGGAACGGGGTGGGCGGGGTTTTTCCTTTAGATGCGTTGACTTCATCATGTCTAGCAAAATTCGGTTTTGATGTGTGAAACACGAGACCATAAAGTCCGAATTTTTCAGCTGTCCCCCCCCGCAAATACACCATGTAAGGTGAGTATGGGGCGGCTAGGCAAAAAGCAACCCAATTCAAATGGCCTTGAATTTGGGAGCATTGTGTTGGGATTTTTTCCCTGATTTTTTTGCCCCCTGGGGCTGTTTGTCTCTTTGGGGGGAGCTGGGTTCTGAGGAGTCTGCAAAGGTGTCTCACCACACGGCGCTTCAATGAACAGGGGCTTTGGGTCCCTTCCGCACCTCTCAAGGTTAGGGGACAATCTCCTTGACCCGTCCACGGGGAAAACAAGTAGGAAAACTGAAGTTAGCTTAAATAGTACCTCTCTTTTTCACTAACTATTTACCTTTATTTTCATTATCTCGCGTCTTTTGGGTAACACTTTTTCTTTGAATTTACAGTTAGTAGGGTTGTGCAACACAGCTTACCCCGGCACTAGACCTCTGCCTCTTCCCCCCCCTCTTCGCCTGATTTCACTTTCAAATTGTTTTATGTTAATTGGGGCCCCACCCTTTTTCTCTTTTGGAGGTTTTTATTTCACTTCCGGGATGTTCCCTGACCCTGACAAATTTTTGTTGGGTCCCTGGAAAAAGCCTTGGGGGGTAGGGTACGCTAAAAGTTCGTGAGAACCCTTTTGAATGCTTTTTTTCTCGCCCCCGTGTATGTGTGTGGGGTATCCCAAATTTGGGAATCACCTTTTTTGTGGTTTTCAGGGGTCGGTCAAGTCTTGGCCCCCGCCTCTTCGCTGATTGCCCAATGGTCCTCTCCCCTTTCCCCGCTCATGAGCTTTATCATACCTCGCCCTTAAAATATTTGGTTCCCCCCCTCCACATTTCACTTTCTAGGCTATTCCACGGCTTGACTACCTATGACTAAGAAAAACTTCCTAACACCCCTTTGATTCTCGAGTTTTAAATTTCCCAAATTTGTGCCCCTTTGTGTCTTGTCCCATCTCGGAACATCCGTTTTTGTCCACCTTGTCTATCCGCGCAGATTTTGTATGTCTTATCATGTCCCCCCTGACCCCCTGGCCTCCTTTGGGTCGGGCCAAATTTTCCCCTCAACCTTTCTTGTGGAAAAACCCCCGTAGCTCTGGGACGCTTTGTTGCAAAACCTTTGCACTTTCTCTAATTTTTGACGTGCTTGACTATTTTGGGTTCCAAAAGGTGCTGCATATCCATTGGGGCCCTGCCGTAAATGGTATCAGAGTCTTGAACGACCCTTTATGAGGTAGGGAAACGCTATCCGTGGGTTTTGCCAGGCGCCCTTTTATGCTGCACCCGTTTTGTTTGATGTCGCCTCAGAGTATGTCGGTGTTATACTCCCCCCCCAGACTTTTTCTTGATGGGGTTTTGCAGATTTGGCCTTAAACTATTTTGGTCTGCAGTTTTTTCTTTCCCCCCCCCCCCAATTTTTCATGACTTTGCTTTTGGGGGGGTTAAAAACTAAAGGAGCCAGTTGCGGACCGGGCTTGTAGCCTGTCCGGTCTTTTTTGTAGTCCTCCTATCCTCATCCGTTTGATTCTTCCTTTAACTTCACATCGCCCCGCAAACAAGACACTTCGAGTTACCCCTTCCGTTATGTTTCACATTACCAGAAAGCACAGGCCCCAAGGACCCCTAGGGCCCCCCGTTTGTCACAGACGCCCATTTTTGACACCTCGTCACGTACCAGACTCTTTGTTGCCCCCCTGAAAGGTATTTTCTTATCCATTGCAGTGCCTTTCCTTTATTTGCCTGATCCTCTAGTTTTTGCAGTAACCTTTTTGTGAGGAACTGTGTCAAAAGGGCCTTTTTGAAAATCCAAAAAAAAAATGCATCGATCCCCCCCTCTCTCTTGTTTTACTTCGTCACCTTGCCCTAAAAATTTAAAGGTTGTACACAGGATTTTCCCCCCCCCCCTAAAACCCCATTGGTTTCAATTTACATTTGTTTCTTTCCGGTGCTCCACCACTCTCCCCCCTGATGATCTTCCCATACCTTGCATACTATACCGTTAGTATACGGGTCTGTAGTTTAGTCCCTCATGTCTGTCTCCCTTTTTAAAAAGGACTACATTTCCCTCTTCCATACCTCGGGGTTTGCCCGTTTCAAATGAGGTTTTTGAAGATCTTTGTAAATGGTACACACAATTCTCTGCTCCCTTTTAAGGACCCACGGAGAGATGTTGTCTGGTCCCACCCCCGTTGAGGTGAGTTCGCATAGCGCTTCTTCACCTCCCCCTTGGTTATTGTACCTCATCCCATTGAGGTGCACCCCCCTGCCTGATTTTCTGGTCCTAGGGTTTTTTTTCCACGAAATTTCTTCTTTAAATCTTGTTTTTTTAAGTCCACATACCCCCGGGCGTTTCTTGTGAATTCCCCATCCCCTTTTCCTCGTCAAATTACCTGGTCCTTGACTTTTTGTTTTCCTCCTGATGGGCTGTACAACACTTCGGGCAGTCTTGACTTTCGTTGCTAGTCATTTTCGATTTCCGCTGCCTCCCCTTTTTATCTGTGCATATCGTTTCTGGCCTTCGGCAAATCTCTTTTTTTTCTGAGTTTTTTGTCTTCGTACCTTTTCCATTCCTATACACCTAGTTTTTTGCCCCCCTACACATTTTTTTTGAACAAAAGGGCTCTTCTGTTTTCCCATTATTTCGTTTTTCCCGGGAACAAAACCCCCCTCTGCCCCCCCCCCCTTTCATTTTTT